CGCCTTCACCGTGCCCAGCACGCCCAACAAGCCCGCGTTCGGAGGTGAGTCGGGGCGGATGGGCCTTCTCGGGGGGGGAAGGGCAGGGCTAGATGTAGGCAGCAGCTTTCCTGCCAGACCTTGCTGAGCTCCCCAGCTCAGCAGCCCTAGAGGGGCTGGCGCTTGTGCTGTGCGGAGCCTTGCCGCACAAAGGGAAGGCGCTTCCGTCACTCACTGTCTGGGTCCCCAGCCCTCGGTGGCGGAGGGGAATCCTTAAATTCTGCTCCTTGGCCCCTCTGAACGCACCAGCTCCCTGGCTCCGCACGAGTGCCGAGCCCAGCCAGGCACCCTGCAGAAGCCAAGGTCTATGCCAGTGCTTAAAAGCAATCTGGAGCTTCTTGGTGAGTAGAAACTCTGCCAGCCAGTGATTGCAATCGCTTCTTGCTCGCTCCCTGAGCTTTTGCCTACCACTTTGCACCCTCGCTGGGCCATCTCGCCTCCCACAGAGCTGAAACCCACATGCTGAGCAGCTACTTGATCTAGAAAGACAGAGGCCTTTGTTCCTCCCTGGCCTACAAATCCTTCTGTGCTGCCCTGCTGGCAGGAGAGCCCAGGGATTACCAGGAGAGCACAATTTCTTGCATTAAAAGGGCTTCTCGGGTGAAGAGGGTGGTCCTGGGGGACCGTGGTGCTTCTCTTCCCAGAGGGAGATCTGTGCCGGCTCCCAAAGGCCAGGCTCTTCCTCCTTTGCCGACCCCAGCTCATAGTGGCGTGTTGCTTTCCAGGAACTCCTGCGCCCACCTTCGGGCAAAGCACGCCCGTCCCGGGGGCAGTGGGGAGCGGAAGCAGTAGCCTTTCCTTCGGGACGCCCAGCACTCCTGCCTCGGGCTTCGGAGGAGTCGGCGCTTCCTTTGGTAAGGAAGGAGTTGGTGCTTTGGCCTTGGGGAGCTGAGGGGTCACGTTGTCCCCTCGGGCTGGGGACGGCGGAAGGGCCAGGCTGTGCTCTGGGAGCCGGCTCGGGTGGTACCTGCTGGGCTTTTTGGGATGCAAAACCTCCCATTCCCCCCAGGACGGGGATTACGCTACCCCCCGTGCCACTCTGAGACCTGAGCAACCTTTCTGCTTCCAGGTTCGTCCACCCCTGCCTTTTCCATCGGGGCGGGATCCAAGACGGGCGCTCGCCAGCGGCTGCAGGCACGGAGACAGCACACCCGCAAAAAGTAACCTCCGGTGCCGCCAGGCCCCCGCCGCCGGCCTGCGCGAGGAGCCCCTGTGCGCCCGTGGGGGGCTCCGGTCTAGAGCCATCCCCATGGCGGGACCGGCGGCGATGGGGCCAGGGCCCCGCTGTCTCTGATGCCAGCCGGAGACCGTGCTGGGTGGCGGCGACCGGGGTGGGATGGGGTAAACCAAACTCTTCTTACTTGAACAGTTCCACAGCCAAGGCTGGATGAACCTCTGTACATATCTGCAGCGTTTCCTCCCTTACTTTATTTTGCCATGTTTCATAACGTGTAAATTTTTCCCCATTTGCTTCTTCTAGCTGTTCCCGTGCCCTCCTCCCCAGCCCCCCGCCAGTCAGCCCCCCGCCCCGCGGCACGGCAGGCCGCAGGGCCGCCCCGCCCCCCCCCCGGCCCCGCAGCCAGCAAGGGGAGCGATGCTGCCAAGGTCCCCGACCGTCCCGGACATCCCAGTGTCCGGCATCGCCTCCCTCCTCACCATCCGTCATTTCTGCACCGCCGCTCGCTGGC